AGCTTATGTTGATCTACTTCCCTATATATTTGGTAATCAGAACTCTGTAGAAGATGGTTAGGAAAAACTTAGGAATAGCTTCGTTGTCAGAATGACGGAAAACCATCTCAACTGGAAGTCCGTATGGCGAGATTCTGATGGTGTTCGGTTTTGAGGGCAAGATGTTAGAGGGCGAATTTACTGACCGGAAGGTCCGTGGTTCGAATCCGCCCTCTGCCTCCTGACTTTCCCTGTCTAGGCTTGGGCAGCCTGGCAGTATCCTAGCCCTCGTAGTTTCTTCGGGTGGCATGGCAGCTAGGCGCCGGAAGGATGCTACAGCTGAACGTTTTTTTAACATTACGGTTTACTGTCATCTGTAAACTTACTAATTCTGTGGCGACAAATTCCATCGCCACTCTTGAACGTATACCGTTGATGTTTCCTACTTTTCCCAATTGTCCGCTTTCAACACACTTTGTTACATATTTAGTTGATAAGAGCCAAACATAAAGCGGAACAACGAATCACTAAGTTGCAGGCGGAAAAGACATTCTACAAGATTGACAATTATACAAAGTGGACTTCGGTTTGTTCCGTCGCATTTCAGCTTTCATTCCTCGTCCGTTGCTGAAAGTCATTCATTTCCATTTTCAGAAAAGACCCAAACGGATCTACAACATTCTCACCAGAAATGAAGCTTACTGATATTCTTTTCATGCGCAAAGTCGTACCTTTTGGAACTTGCGACCCATGGTTCAAAAGAAATCAGCTAATGAAGTTTGCCTTTGTAAGTGATAGTATTTTCGCTGTCGAGCTGCGTACGTTTAGAATTATAGAGGACGCTTGGCACGTTGTCATAAACTTGGTATGAATCGAGTCTACAAGGCTCTGCAGTTCGTACAAGCCCTCCGTGATGCAAGAAAGGAGGAAATACATGACATTTGGAATCAGCGTATTGCTATCGCCAGTGAGCAACACGGACTACCAGGTCGCCGAATTCTTCTCGAAGGTCTAGCCCAATCAAACGTTGCGCTGAATAAAAACATGCTTCAACTCCTGGCGATCTACGAGCCTCGAACATTTGAAGTGGGTGCATGCATTTCTTGAACTGTCATTTTTGCAGGCTCTTGTAAATGTTGCCAAACAGTATCATTCCGAGGTCGGTGTGAATCTTCCTGCATCTGATACTTCCGTCCCTGTCATTTCTCGAGGCATGTTGCGCTTTCCAATAGTACCCGGGAACAAACATTTGTATGACTGACCTACATAATAAAACTTATAGAAAACTCTCCATTTCTCGGTGTTCCAGTTTGTCTCAGTGTCGTCACCATTTCTATTACCCTGTTCACTATTCCGTGACCTTTCTTTAGCATCAAGCACATTACTCCGCTTCACCGACCGATTTGTGCGAATAAATCTGAACGCTCGCCAAAATTCAATGCCTCCATTCTAGGCCTACCTGGCAGGAAAAGCGCATAAATAGGAGGAATAGATCTAACGCTTTTGAATAATCAGTTGGAAAGCTCGCACTTTGACGTTCTTTTCGCCCTTCAGCGCAATACGTGAACTTAGTGTTGTTTGAAAAATTAGGCTGATTGTCGCCCGTATTTTACACAGGTAAGGAATACAGCCAAAATAACTACAGTCATCTTACCATGTCAGCGGATAGATCTCCCTTTTTGCTGTGCAAGATTTGACTGCTTGTCTCGCCACGAGATTTGAATCTTTCGAACCAAGCATGAATGGTTGTGAAATTGGTGTATTTTAATAGGACTCCTACCACTGCAAAATTATACAACAATGACGATGTTTCTGTCATGGGCGCGTAGAAGCCGTTTGGAAGTTTCCAAATCTAGGTTATCGCACCATCCAGCTTCAACCATCTTTCTGCTCTACGTAGCCCAGCTTTTCTAAGGTGCATGGCTCAGCTTACCGCAGTTGAGTTCTGCTATTTAATGACCCATAGCTGCTTTGCAATGATATCCTATGTTGGCGAACCGTATTTTCGAACAATGTACCATCCAGAGGTGACAGATCTCTTTCCGCTTTTCATTTCATGGTCATCCGTGCAAGGGGCGTTGGGAATGGTCGTGATTCTTCCTATCCATGCGCTCTGTATCAAGTATTGACCGCACACCGACTGGATTTATCGCGTTGCGAATGACCCTATCATGGAAACAAACTGGGTAGGCTATGGACGTACGCGCGCAGCAAATAGTTCAACCACACTAACCTTGATTGTTTAATTTACTGCTGTAGTCTTTTCCATATCTTGCAGCCAAGTAATGACTGCTGTGCAAAGATGTCGGTGATCCGAATTTATTACTAACAACGGTCAGTTGGTCAATGGTCAATTGTTACCACCATTGTGTCTTGGAGCAATGTTAAACAGACCACCGAGTTGTGCCGCTAGTGAACGTGTGTGACTAGAACAATATCTGAGCTCGTGCTCGGTAGGAGAGTGGTTAGGTTACGATAAAACTACCGTCCATTGGTGCATACGAATAACCTGTAAACAATAATCGGGTGTTACTTCGGGTAGTACGGGTTGTCATGGTAGTTGGTAAACGGATGGCGCTGTTAAAGATCCAACACCCGTTCTACACGCTGCAGTAGTTGCAGGACCACCTGAACGGTACTAGGTAACAAAGATGACTTGTGTCTGGCTACCATACTTGGATCTTTTACTCGGGTTTTGGAAACGCAGCAACTGTCCGTCAATAAAGTTTGAGGGGGGAACTCTGGAGCAGCTCGTTGGCCGACTTCCTTTAGGCTTCAAAGATTAGAAGCTGCGACGAAAACGACGGGACGGAGACAGGAGGCGAAGCGATGGTCTGCAATTAGTTATTTCCTCGGTTTAAGAAGAATGGTCGTTAACTGAGACAGAGAGGAAGTGACACTTATATATGTAAGGATAGAACGAATGGATAGATGTCAACACTGCCAAGGGCATCCGATTATGCACTGTGAATGCTAAGTTAACCGTCGCTCCCAGTATAATCGACCTGCATATATCTACCAAGAAATCGCTTCGATCGGGCGACGCGGCGGTAGCATTTTGGGACAATATTCACTTCTCTAGGAGAGAGTCTTCACCTAAGGACAGTTTAGTACACATATGGCGTGTAACATGGAGCGTAACCTACTGGCACGCTCCCGTCTTTATTGTCTACCTTGCCCATACCGGTGAGACCTCGTGCATGTTCTTTTGTCTTTTGTCTGTCTTCTAACCTTGCCTCCGGGATTGACGCTGTGAGCTACTGATTCTGTTCTGAAGCCCCCAGATAGTGTCCTTATCGTTCTTTTCTAAGTACTTTTATTTTTTGTCTAGGGTTAGTGAGCGCTATTTTTATAGCTTATCCCGACCATAATATGGTCTATTACTCAGGATAGTGCAGTGTTTAAGTTCGCGAGCTACCTACTAGGTTTAAACTTCACTTCGGCTTTGCGGTTGATATTGTGTAGGCCAGGCAGTATCTCATCCCTCTTGCTTTCTTCATGTTGTATGGGTGATGCGCTTCGGGAGAGTATTGCAGCTGCGTGGCTTGATTTTTTTTAAGTTTCACTGCGCACGATAGTCTGGTCTGTTACAGATAAAATAACTGTTTACAGCTTTCTTGAAAAAAACCATGACTACTGTTTAGCTATAGCAAGCCTTTCTCGTAAACCGTTATCTTCTCACGCTTCTATTCTTACATTTCAGTTTATGGCGCTCTGGTGCTCTTCGAAGTGGCAGCATCTTTGAGTACCTCGGATTTTAAATTCATGAATACTTTGGCGAATTTCTATGCGCATGGTTTTATGATTTTCCCACGGAGGGATATGCGCAAAGCCATGAGACTGGCAGTGGCCGCAGCTTGAATATGTCACGTACGATCACGCGTTCATCACCGTTGAAATGCACTTGTAGATTCCGTAGAAACTCACAAGAGGACCATTTTCAATGCAGATGGCAAACGTTCTCATCATGACACTCGTTATAATCAAACCGGCTTTCGAACGCATTTCTCCACTTCTGATCACATGCGTGCTGCACTGAATCAAATCAAATTTGGATGGAATATACATATCTGGCCGTCGTTTGATCGAGATGCACATATATATTTTATGGGTCGGCGCTATTCCACTAACGAGGGTGCGTGTGCATTTCCTAACTATACACGCAAAATGTTTTTTTGTGTGCGTATATTCTTATCGCCACTGCACCCATGCCAACCACTTCTCAGGATTTGTGAGGAAGTGAGGAGTTTGTTCGATTCTTTGATGAGTTCAGTATTTTGATCTCAAAGCACAGTGGCTGAAAGTGCGAAATAGAATGCTAAGGAGTTTCGTAGTCGCTTGCTTCAGGAGATGTGCGATACGAACGTCGCGTTACATTGAAACAGAGCAATACATCGTTGTTGCACGCTGCCTACTTAACACAGCACATTCCGTTCAAATTTAGGCGGCCTCTTTGTGTTGTCGTTGTCCGTTGGATAGTAAAGGCGACACCTGAGAGTGCCGGTGTGATAAATTTGACGTTGTAGCAAGCTTCTCCGAATTCCACTGCCCGAAACGCGAAGCGGTATTTTAGCATGAAAGTGAGGAGTTAAAGCCAGTTTCGAACTTTTTGACCCATTGATCCGGAAGTACGGTAAAGTTGTTTTAAGGTTCTGGAATGCTAGTCTTCAGTCGTCCCTTCCCATTGTTTATTCTGCGTTTTGTTGCGGGACCGCCATAATCTGTGTTGGAGTCAATCATTCAGTCGATATGCCTTGTTGCCCTAGTTGCCGTATTCACCGTACCGAATTCATGTGTCATTGGGTCGGAATTTCCACTTTGGAGCGTGTTGATCAGACAACGAAAGAGTTCGCTGGGATCATATTCTGAGGGTTCTTCGCCATCCATGTAAGCAACACAGTGTCTTAGGCTAATACGGTCTTAATAGGACAACATCACGGAAGCTTGTCCCTGCGGGCTGATGCGAACCAGCCAGTGCAAGTGATTTTGGGAAAAATAGCCTTCTGCACTAATGTTGAAGAAGTTACATATATCGCAATCAGGTGCATTGGGTAAGGTGGTCATGGTGGGAAGTTATCAATCATGGCGTTAGTTGGCATGTCTCCTGACAAGGGCGAGATGACTCGGATGTTAGAGCGCGAATCCACTGATCGGTTGGTCCGTGATTCGAACCCGACCTCTGCCTCTCGACTTCTCCCATCTAGACTTGGGCAAACTGGCAGTATCCCAGCACTCGTGCTTCCTAGGAGCACTGTACAGCTGCTTCACTTTTATTGCGAGTCATTAGCAGTGCATTTGGATTTGTCTTTACCTTAATTAAAACAATTGAAGCGGCCACCGTCAAACCTAAACCCTCCGGCGCTTTCTATCGCTGCTCAGGATATAGACCAGGTGACTGTACTTGTCTCTGATATGCTCACAAGCGAAAGCAGTCTGTCATTGTCAGTAATTCGCATCAGGAGTAACCAACATGATTAAGAATCGCGTCCTAACAATGTGTTTCTTCACAGCGCCCCCTTCAATCTCCCAGTTATTCGTATTCTGAGCTCGTACAGAGATGAAAAATGATCACGATATGCTCAAGAATAACTATCATCCGAATACCCGTTTGCTCATTTCCTTACGTTCTGTTTTCCCTACACTTTGGGAGAATATGATTTGTTATCGTGTGGTTTACAGTGTGGATTCCCGTTACCTCGTATACAAATGAGGTGAGCTCCTTGAAGGTTAATTAATTAATTAAATAATTATTGTTATCGTAATTGAGTTCGTTTGTCCGTCTTTCATTCACTATCCAACAATCACGGATATTCAAGCAGTTACTCTGATCTGACTCGGCTTTTCAGGTTGATTTCATTTTTATGTTCTTTTTTTAGATACTTGCCCAGTCTCATCTTCTGCTGGGTCCTTTGATGGGACGCTGGCGGACTTCGCGGATGATTTTGCAACGCGTTTGTGGTTCACATACCGAGAAGACTTTCCTCCACTTGGAAGTGGCGATCAGAGGTCACCTGATTTTCAAAGAGCCAGCGTATCTGTCGGTGCAAATACATTGGATCAATCTGGGTCCAGTCGTCCCTCAGCTACAGATGACGTCTTCATAGACTCCGATTTGGGCCTGTTAGTGAACGTTCCTCCGGCCTACCATGAAGACGGTTCGTTAGTACCTGGTAAAGTCTCACCCCAACGCAAAGGAAAGGGTATACGTCGTTTGGTCCCAAAAGTTTCGGTGGCGTTCCGAAAGAATAAACCAGCCGGTGTAGTCCAGCGCGATAACATGCCTGCTACAGTGATTCCTTTGTCAATTCAGACGTCAGATTCCGGTTGGGGCTGCATGATTCGTTCCGGTCAGATGCTACTAGCTCAGGCACTAATGATCCATTTATTGGGTCGAGACTGGCGTGCATTCCGAGGAACCAAGTTAGTGATGTTCACTACTGGCTGCTCGTTTGCTACGTACTTATAAATACAATGACATTAAAGGCATAGTGTTGACACGCCACGCTACTTATAAGGTTGCTGAAAACTCTTCGACAGCGACCGTATAAGTTGTGTGATATTTCAAGAAAATGTACTGCAGTGTGTCGAATATCGTTCCAGCTGAAATTTGAGACAGTATTTGAAGAATATCATCAACAAGAGACTCCGCTGAATCTCCCATGAACATAACCGAGTTTGCAGCCCAGTGTATCTAGTCAAACTTCATCTGTTTTTACCCGTTCAGCTGTCTCACCCTTTCGGTGCCTAACTGCCATGCCACTCGAAGGAAGTACGAGGGCTGAGATACTGCCAGGCCGCCCAAGCCTAGACAGGGGAAGTCGAGTGTTTTGAATTACTGAACGGCCGTGCAACCATCCGTCGGTCCCTGGCTTCCTGCTCCGGCAACTGTTGTAATTCGAGAACATGGTAGCTTCAGATATCCCTTTATGGAGACAAAGGAAGGTTATTACAACTGGATTTATGGGGTAATCACAGAATGTTCCAGAAGGCCGCGCCAGATTCTCCATGACGAGGCGAGAAGCGTTAAGCTAAAGATACTCGATCCAGATGGGGTCGACGTGGCTCAAGTGGTTAGAGCGCGAATTTACTGACCGGAAGGTCAGAACCCGACCTCTGCCATTCGACTTCCCCTGTCTAGACTTGGGCGACCTGACAGTATCCCAGCCCTCGTGCCTCCTTCGGGTGGCATGGCCGCTAGGCACCGAAGGGGTACTACAGCTGATCCAGATCCAGATTGGCTGGCATCCTGACCAATCAGGGCATGCCTTTACCCCGCACGTGACACATCTGTCCAATGAACGTGCTGTTCGGTTATTAGGGGCGGCTGATCTCCGGACATCGAGATGCAGAGGTCGAACGGTCAGTGAATTCTTCCTCTAACCACTCAACCATCTCGCCTGTCTTCGTGTACCGGACGCAGCTATTCAAACAAGTGGTCCCATTGAACAAAATGTGTCGAATTGCTATAACTCACTCTGATGTGGGGGTGAGATATGTGGATGATGGGGAATATTTAGCACACTTAACCCAAAGACTGATTTTTAGTAATGTGAGTTCGTATTTTCACATTGGCACCTTCGCAAGACAATGGTTTATCGGCCATTCCTTATTCTTAGGTTCCAGTTCGCCCTTTCTGTTACCTTCATTGGTCTAACCGCTTTGATCTAAGACCTCGGTTGTTACATCACCCATGTTCCCTACCTTGTCTGAAGTATCGACATTTTCTTGCACCTCACTTACCCGGAGACGTGGTTCGAACCCGACTTCTGCCTCTTGACCTCCCCTGTCTATACTTGAGCAACCTGACAGTATCTCAGATCTCGTGCTTCTCCCGGGTGGCATGGCAGCTAGGCGCCGGAAGAGTGTCACGTCTGAACGACTGACTCATACGCGGTCAACTCCGATGCCGGTGGGTTATTTGAAAAGATTGCGTTAATCACTTGATATCGGGCACTGGTGTGAGCTCAAGGAATCCTGTCTTTCATGTTTTTGGTGACCAAATGCATTTTTAGGCTTCGTCTAGACGCCCATCAAGTTTTTCTCAAGAGTTCGTTGGAAAGAAAATGAGTGTTTAGTCGGTTGAAGGAAGTGGTATGAGGAATTTCCTATAGTCTTTTTTAGTGCGGAGCGTCCCGTGGTCACTGGTAGAATCCATTGGACCTTAACGATTGTCCACTGCTGCATTGAGCTGATATCCCTTTTTGGGGTTGGATGTCATATTGAACTATTCTGATGATTCTCTGCACAGTACAGTCACAACCGTACCTGGTATACCTGGCAAAACGGGTCGTGGGCTGTCGAAGATCTTCCAGCAACCATATGAGCATTGTGTTATGTCTAAACCTTGAGATTTAAAAAGACCACACTAGTGAATAACATAACCGTTCAAGAAGGACTACTGTGAGGTGAAACAATATTTAGCCGGGGAACGCCGTTATGGACTTTCCAGGGGTGATCTCTCTTCGGACGAGTTTTTTTTTAAGAGATTACTCTATCAACTACGGGATCCAACTGTCTGTGGGGACGGATGTTCCATAGGTAGCCTGTGTGGCACCCTTATGTCCGGATGTGAGGCCCTCAGTGTTGTTCCTCAAGGCCGTTTCAGTTGACGAAGGACATTATTCTTGAGCCGAAGAAAGCCGCAGGCGGTACAGCTCCTTTTGGGGTTACCTTTTAGCTGATCATTGACGGGCGATCCGTTCCTCTAATAGGAGACAGAGGTAAAATGAAAACAATTAAATTATCACAACTGGTGAATGTGTTTGTGATTGACGAGGTCAACCCTCCTGGAAACCAGACTCTAGGTCTTTCACGGATTGGTCGCATACACTGAAACTGAGAGATATGTTGAATGAAAACGTAATGGTAGTGTGAAACCTCACACCTTATGCGCGAATGGGGTTAGATTCCACTTTGGATTTCCGATACATTTAGACTAGTTCTGTGTTTATCTCATCCTTGCATGTTCATGATTTTGATCCCGTATTCGGCTGCCCTCGGCGGCCAATCCTTACCATTTTTTCACATTGTTCCTAATTTCTTCACATCCATTGTTTTGCATCAAGTCCGATTCAAACTCCTGAGGATCACCTTCATCGCCAGTTGATTAGGTGGTTCCACGACTGTTGGAGCCAAGAATCGCCTTTCTCACTGCACCGACTAGTACAGGCCAGTGGGCAGCTACCTGGTTCCTGGTTCGGCCCAGCCACACTGTGTTCCGCACTTGTCAAAGTCATGTCTGACGCTTCTCGTCGGTTTGAAGAGCTTGCGCGATTGCACATCTACTGGGTCCGAGACCGAGTTATTTACCGAGAAGTGAGCGGTTGTTTTGTTGAGATGTATTCATAACTCGGTTTGTTACATTTATGAGATGGAGTAGTTTTTCTTACCCAGCCTCCACTATAAATTCCGCAGTGGTTCAAATTACTTCTGACTAAGGATCGTTTTTAGCGTCATTGCATAGCTGTTCGTTCGCCACCATCTGACTGACCCGTTAGAAATGGACTCTGTCACGCATGTGCACAATACAGTGCATATTCCTTCTCGTTTATGCGTACCTAATCTACAGATACGTCTTCATAATACTTTGATTAACCATCTTCCAGGTTGACCAGTTTTGTGCCAACTTCCGCACGTCCTTGTGGAAATGCCCGTAAGTTTAGACCCAGTTAGGCAGTGAGTGATCGGCGCTTTGAGCTCACCAAAGACATCATGGCAGTTCACTTCGCGTTAGTCCTCTCGTTAACTCGGACATTAGTTGCACTTGTGAGGAAAATATATGGCAAGGCACTATTTAGCGAGAGCTTAGAGTAACATTTATAGGGTCTCTTACCTGCTTTCATAACACCACAGCGCTATCGGATTCATCATTTTATCGTAACACCCTTCCGGTGTCTCGATTCCACGGCACCCGAAGAAAGCACAAGGGCTGGGATACTGCCAGGTTGCCCAAGTCTAGACAGGGGAAGTCGAGAGGCGGAGGTCGGGTTCGAATGACGGACCTTCCTGTCAGTAAATTTGCGCTCTAACCACTTAAGCCATCATTGTAAGATGCCATCAAATGAGGAGCAGGATATCTCACGAGCAGTTGGTGGTGGAGCGTCCATAAAATGAACCTGTCTCGTTAGGTATCAGTAGCAGTGTTGTGTCCACTGAACTTGTTGGCCGTTAAACGCCTGGACTCTTTTCTGTACCAATAGATTTCGTTTTGCCCGTTAGTTCGAATTACCGAATTCTGCTTGTGTTTGGGGGGTGACTCCTTTTAAGATCTTGTTGAACTAGTCTAATCATACAGGATTGAGGCCACTCGGTTTGATTTACTTGCATGTGTCGCTGCGTAAAAGCTCACAGCCTCCAAATTTTCCTAAAAAGAATCCCGATTAACTTTACTTCAGTTCTGGCCGGACCGGATTTGTAACTAAAAGCTGCGTATGTCCGTACCGCAATCGCCGCACTATTTTGCAGTCAGAAAAGGAAATGCCGGTTAAGTTCTGATCCTCTCGCCTTAATGCATTATATGAAAGAGTATACGTAACAAAGTGAACCAGTTACAGCCAAGAAAGCATTAGTTCAGGAAGACGCCTGTTAAACAAGGAGGTACACCTTGGTGTATACTATTATCAGATGAGAGGCGAACACCAGGTCAACTCCAGTTTTACGCAAAGTTCGAATATGAGAGGGCGGACAACAATAATATCGCGAGATAATTCAGATTGTTCGCTTTGGGTCGGTTTTGTGGTACGTGATACACGATCCAAAATGTGTCGTACAACGACATGTCGTAGACTGACTAGATGGGCCAAACTGGCGCTTTGGATTAGGTTTCTAATTCCTCACGTTCATCACTGCGGCTAGTTTCCTCTTTTCCGTTTAGAAAATCACTGGACCTAATTAAATGACACCATGTACATACATACCTAAATTTATAGACAACCATCAATGTCAGCATTGACGTTTGTCTGTCTTTCAAGGATAGAAGAGGTGTGAATCGAAACTTCCAATCTGGATCTTATGTATACAAGAAACCTTCCAGATGATACGTCGGCTATTGGGTTACCCTTCCAGGTTTGGCTCTTTGTGTTTTGAAATCCCCGTGAAGCGAACTAACCATGCTCCTTCACTTTCTTCCTAGGAATACCAGATTCTTATTCAGATTATCATCGAACCGTCTTTTTCGCACCTTTGAAACCAAAGAACGCACGAGTTTTCTGTTCTACATAGACAAAACTCTCGAAATCCGTACATCTTCATTACAGGATGCCTTGTACGAGCCACCTTTGAATTGAGCTGCCAGTCCACACGAATGCTCAGAAAGATGTGATGATTCAATTATGTCTCCATGGTAAAATTGGTAGCTATGCCAAAGTTATTGAATCGGTCTAGAACTCTACCTAAACCCTACTTTTCATCTGGACGTATTCTGATATTTTTCTATGGGTTACTGAATACCAGTTAGCTTTGGGCTAAGTACCGGACGATGTTGGTAGTTGTTCAGGTAGCTGTTGATCTGTTCACCGAGCTTGCTATTTAACATGACGTCATTTGCACACGATCGCGTGGGTAGTTTCTCTCTCTCTGAGCTTGCGCTTATATAGTTTGCAAATAGCAACTTGAAGCTCCTGCCTGATTGGCTGTTCTAATCATCTCACTTGAGATCTGATTGGTTCGTTCGTGATATATATCACTGAAAGGCTGACTAATTATGGAAGTCACGTGAGTAGATACTCCCATCACTTTGTGTTTCAGGGCTATTGCCATAGAATCTTTTGAGTGCTAGTTTATTGTCATTGTTTTCATTGAGGACCAATTTTGTGTTCTGTATTCTGGAAGGAAATAATGAATTTGGCTCGCGGTCAACCCGTACTTCGGAAGCCCGGTCGGCTCAACTATACAGATTTCAGTGAAAACTTTCAGCACTGTTGCTCTCAGGAATGTGAGTTTAATACAACCTGTCAGGGTAACTGCACCTACCCTAGATTTAACGAACTTTCTGCTTACTTGTAGTTCGACTATAGGCTCCAATTAATGTCACTATGATTGTGTAACCTTTGTCACAGCTGTTCGGTAGCCATATTTATTCGTTGTCGCTTGACCGTTTTAGTTGCTTAAGCTACCCAGCAGGTGTGCCCGTTGAATTGTTTTGAGACAATGTATTGTTACTTTTCTATTTAAATTTTTGTTCCCTTGAAACGTGTGAGTTAAAAAGAGTGAAAAATATGGCCGCGGAGTCTCTCTCTTCTGGTGCTACCACGCAAGTGGAAGAAGTCATGGACGGTTGCTTAGACGAGGGCAATGGGCATGTCTTGGTGTATGCAGACGTGAGGCTCGACGTAACCTCAGCTGAATCTCTCATCATCGATAGCATCACATCGGTGTTCTACACTGATGCTGGATCTTTTTTCCAACTGAATATGCTGCACAAAGGGTGCCTCATATTTCGGTTGTGACAATGTCCACTGATGTTTCTTGGTATGGCACTATTGTTTGACAGTCCACTATCTGTCCGGCTCCTTTTGTGGGTTGTCGTTTAGGCCTAGCTCCGTCCATTTTCTCTTGATAGGTGTTTTCCGTGGAATTTGTGATGCACCTCCAGAAAACAAGACTGATTTAGATATCAGAACGATGCTTTGGCGACATTTTTCAGGATCTTGTCAGACCGTCGTCTTATGGATACCTTTTGTGGGACATGCGAAGGCATATTAACATGTCGTAATATAGTAGCTGGCTGATTGACAACTTTTTTGCCCTCGTTTTTGTTCATCTGAAAATACGTGTTCTGCGAACACAAATGACTGAGAGCCTAAGGCAGGACGGAGGATCGAAAATCCCGATAGCTACTACTTAATTAGGTGACAAACTGGCTCATATTAAACATTATCACTAGGTGTAATCTCGATATCTCATCAGCATACCTTTTCTGGGTGATAGCCAGACTCATCTTGCTGCCAAGTATCCAGAAACACACGGTCTTCTCCGTACTTTGGCAGTCTCAGTTGGAGCCGGCATAGAACGCACTGTTGCGCATATGCTTAATGCATTATATGAAAGAGTATACGTAACAAAGTGAACCAGTTACAGCCAAGAAAGCATTAGTTCAGGAAGACGCCTGTTAAACAAGGAGGTACACCTTGGTGTATACTATTATCAGATGAGAGGCGAACACCAGGTCAACTCCAGTTTTACGCAAAGTTCGAATATGAGAGGGCGGACAACAATAATATCGCGAGATAATTCAGATTGTTCGCTTTGGGTCGGTTTTGTGGTACGTGATACACGATCCAAAATGTGTCGTACAACGACATGTCGTAGACTGACTAGATGGGCCAAACTGGCGCTTTGGATTAGGTTTCTAATTCCTCACGTTCATCACTGCGGCTAGTTTCCTCTTTTCCGTTTAGAAAATCACTGGACCTAATTAAATGACACCATGTACATACATACCTAAATTTATAGACAACCATCAATGTCAGCATTGACGTTTGTCTGTCTTTCAAGGATAGAAGAGGTGTGAATCGAAACTTCCAATCTGGATCTTATGTATACAAGAAACCTTCCAGATGATACGTCGGCTATTGGGTTACCCTTCCAGGTTTGGCTCTTTGTGTTTTGAAATCCCCGTGAAGCGAACTAACCATGCTCCTTCACTTTCTTCCTAGGAATACCAGATTCTTATTCAGATTATCATCGAACCGTCTTTTTCGCACCTTTGAAACCAAAGAACGCACGAGTTTTCTGTTCTACATAGACAAAACTCTCGAAATCCGTACATCTTCATTACAGGATGCCTTGTACGAGCCACCTTTGAATTGAGCTGCCAGTCCACACGAATGCTCAGAAAGATGTGATGATTCAATTATGTCTCCATGGTAAAATTGGTAGCTATGCCAAAGTTATTGAATCGGTCTAGAACTCTACCTAAACCCTACTTTTCATCTGGACGTATTCTGATATTTTTTCTATCGGTTGCTGAATACCAGTTAGCTTTGGGCTAAGTACCGGACGATGTAGGTAGTTGTTCAGGTAGCTGTTGATCTGTTCACCGAGCTTGCTATTTAACATGACGTCATTTGCACACGATCGCGTGGGTAGTTTCTCTCTCTCTGAGCTTGCGCTTATATAGTTTGCAAATAGCAACTTGAAGCTCCTGCCTGATTGGCTGTTCTAATCATCTCACTTGAGATCTGATTGGTTCGTTCGTGATATATATCACTGAAAGGCTGACTAATTATGGAAGTCACGTGAGTAGATACTCCCATCACTTTGTGTTTCAGGGCTATTGCCATCAAATCTTTTGAGTGCTAGTTTATTGTCGTTATTTTTACCGTGGACCAATTTTGTGTTCTGTACTCCTGAAGGAATTAATGAATTTGGCTCGCGGTCAACCCGTACTTCGGAAGCCCGGTCGGCTCAACTATACAGATTTCAGTGAAAACTTTCAGCACTGTTGCTCTCAGGAATGTGAGTTTAATACAACCTGTCAGGGTAACTGCACCTACCCTAGATTTAACGAACTTCCTGCTTACTTGTCGTTCGACCATAGGCTCCAAACAGTATCTCTATTGCAACCTTTGTCACAGCTGTTCGGTAGCCATATTTACTCGTTGTCGCTTGATCGTTTTAATTGCTTGAGCTACCCAGCAGGTGTGCCCGTTGAATTGTTTTGAGACAATGCATTGTTACTTTTCTATTTAAATTTTTGTTCCCTTGAAACGTGTGAGTTAAAAAGAGTGAAAAATATGGCCGCGGAGTCTCTCTCTTCTGGTGCTACCACGCAAGTGGAAGAAGTCATGGACGGTTGCTTAGACGAGGGCAATGGGCATGTCTTGGTGTATGCAGACGTGAGGCTCGACGTAACCTCAGCTGAATCTCTCATCATCGATAGCATCACATCGGTGTTCTACACTGATGCTGGATCTTTTTTCCAACTGAATATGCTGCACAAAGGGTGCCTCATATTTCGGTTGTGACAATGTCCACTGATGTTTATTGGTATGGCACTATTGTTTGACAGTCCACTATCGGTCCGGCTCCTTTTGTGGGTTGTCGTGTAGGCCTAGCTCCGTCCATTTTCTCTTGATAGGTGTTTTCCGTGGAATTTGTGATGCACCTCCAGAAAACAAGACTGATTTAGATATCAGAACGATGCTTTGGCGACATTTTTCAGGATCTTGTCAGACCGTCGTCTTATGGATACCTTTTGTGGGACATGCGAAGGCATATTAACATGTCGTAATATAGTAGCTGGCTGATTGACAACTTTTTTGCCCTCGTTTTTGTTCATCTGAAAATACGTGTTCTGCGAACACAAATGACTGAGAGCCTAAGGCAGGACGGAGGATCGAAAATCCCGATAGCTACTACTTAATTAGCATACCTTTTCTGGGTGATAGCCAGACTCATCTTGCTGCCAAGTATCCAGAAACACAGTCTTCTCCGTAATTTGGCAGTCTCAGTTGGAGCCGGCATGGAACGCACTGTTGCGCATATGCTGGTGCTATCGAATATTGTTTGAGATCCGTTTGGTCGTAGACAAACTGCGTTTTCCGCAATCGTTTCATCCTCAGTAATTGCCGCTAGTACAGTTCGCGGTTTTATCCAAGTTGATGCCACCGTACACTGTTTCATCAACCGTGTGTATTGAAACAATTTCCTCTGTAGGTAATCTGCTCGGATACACTCTACTTGCTTCCACCTTTCTTTTGCACTTCATATTCGAGGTTCTCAACCAGTATCATCCACCTACTTCCAAGATGGGACACCGAGTAGCCCTTCGACCAAACTCTTCTCGTCCCATGCTGTGATATTGCTTCTTTCCATCCGACTCGGACTAGATAAGCGGATCGACGCACGCTACGTCCCAATGGTGTGTCGCCTCGTTCGTGATCCTTGTTTTGTCGGTATCATTGGAGGCCGCCCAAGACATTCCATTTATATTTTGGGCTGTCAGAATACGCAGTTGATCCACCTGGATCCTCACTTCACACAGCCCGTTGTGCGGAACGTTGTTAACTCCGAGGAATTCAATGTAAAGGTTTGTGCTAGAAACCGCTCGGATCACATTCATTTATCTCAGCCCTTGAGCCGTTTAGTAAATTTTAGGTCGTGGTGTAAAAAATACAGGTACGTCATCCTACACCGGTGGTTTCAGCGATGGTACCTCTCTTCGCAGAGGAGTCTGGGCTCAAGTGAGCATTAAGATCAGTGCTACCCAAGCTGTTTCCGCAAAATTCTCAAATGTTTTTTCCAACTCGGTTAGCTTATGATCACTGCGAGAAATATGTTTTCGCCCAGGGTTCTCAGTGTGAAGACAGCGATTCCATTCCTTGAGATAACTAATTGGTAAGCTGACGACCAGTGTCACTCGTCATGCGATCTGACGAGACATTACTGCTGCATTCTCTGCTTGTTGTTCCGAATTCGCTGGTTCTTATAGTAGGGAGCATTAGATGCAAATGGGTGAGAGCGCACACGGTAGAGTAGTAAAGCCTGAATAGCCCACACAGGATCTGTTGTTAAAATTTTATGTTCCAGGCAATCAACATACCAGGTCTCACACGTGTGGATTCCATTAATGAACCAGTTTTCTTTTCGTAGAACCACAACACCAGGGATTCCACACGGCTGGACCCAATGTGGTACTTCACTTCGATACCCTTTCACTGTGATTGACTTTCCGACTTGTGTTCCAATCGAGCAACTAGTTTACTAATTCCTTCGTGAACCTAGCTTCACGTTGTGAACCTCAGTGTTTTGGGCTTTATAGTGGTGGTTTTAGCTGTATGCCCTCTTCTTTCTGGTAGCGATGCTGAGCCGAGTACACCTTATGAGTTGACTGAATATTGGCTCAGTGTTTCTGACCGGAAGCTGCGGGTACGCTCTTGACGTTTCATTGTGCAGCTTGGCAGTAACTCGACAATCACGTTTCTTCCGCGTTGCATCACAGATGCGCGAGCATTAGATGGGCAACCCAGCCGAACAATTTAATTTCATTACCGTGCTGCCAGCTCTCGCTTGGAACACTAGTAGGGGTTTTAAGGAGGTTCTTTTATTTCATAGTCTGAGCAGAAAATAACGACATTTAGAACGAAGCACGTTAGGGATTTTGTTTCACATCCTTGACAACTGTGACATCAATAATTAAATTATACAATGCTGTGAGCGGAGCTTTGTTATTCGAAGTTTCCATGGCCGCAGACGATCTTTATCAGGGTGATTCTTATCTACACTGATTAGGTAAACATTCATGTGGCCATCTGATCGGTCTAAATAATCCTGTCACGCTGTGGTTTGATGTAGTTCACGAATGCGGACCACACCGCGGATATGAGCTGTTTGTCGCAATGGAACTGTGAATAGTGAAATTCCGCCCATGACTTGGTGTGCCATAATTGGTTAACTAAGTTGGTTAGTATTTGACGCTCGATCTCTTTGCTTTCACTCGTTGTTCGGGGGCCAGCCGTCCCTAATAACCAAACAGTACATCATTTGGACGGATGTGTCATGCGGTGTCCGGAACCTCTTTCGGAGCAGTGCCTCTGCTGGTGATACTCCATCAGGTGAGTTGGGGTTTGGCGTCGCTCGATATGCCAACAGGAATCTTTGCAAAATCTCCTCCGTTGGTCCCTCCCCCCTGGACTTCTGAAGTGCCCGCTTGAGAGTGTCAACAAAGCGTTCCGCTTGGCCATTCGACGGTGGATGAAACGGCGGCGAGCGTATATGCGTTATGCCATGCTCCCGACAAAAGTGTGCGAACGCCGACGACGTAAACTGACTGCTGTTGTCGGATACAATAGTCTCTGGCGTCCCAAAACGACTGAACAATCACCGGAGTTCCAGGATTGTAATGGCAGTTGTGGGTGCTGGCATACGTTTGATCGCTTCAATGTTCTCCGGGTCTGGACGGCGGCCATGTTTGTCAATAATGAACCCAAGGTACTTTATCGACCGCATGAAAAAGGTGCATTTCTCTCGGCGCACTTTGAAGCCATATTCTTGAATACGACTAAGCACGTAATCAAGGCGCTGCCACAGTTCGTGGGG